CCCCCTCCCTCCTCTAATTTTAGTCTAGATTCTACTTGAGAGAAAACACAGCATTTGTCTGACTGGTTCATTTCTCCTCACATAGTGATCTCCAATCCCATCCATATCCCTGCAAATGCCATGACTTAGTTTTCTCTGCAGCTGAATATGAGGTCCCCACATGAATATGTGCACATTCTCCATATCCGTTCATGTGCTGATGGACATCTGGTTTCACTTCCTGGCTCTTAAGACTTGTGCAACCATAAACACAGATGTATAGGCATCTCTGCACTGTGCGGACTTAAGAGTTCTTTGGTCTATCTGGGAGCGGCCCAGCTGGGCCATACAGTAGTTCTAGTTTGAGTTAAATTTTTTTAAGTCTTTTTTTTTTCTTTAATTCATGGGTATAGGTGTTCTGCCTGCTTGTCTCCAAGCGCCACATGCATGCAGTGCCTGCTGTGCCCAAAAGAGGGCGGTAGATCCCATTACAGAGGGCTGTGAGTCACCACGTGGGTTCTGGGAGCTGAACTGGGGTCCCCTGCTCTTAACTGCTGAGGTGTCTCTCTAACCCCAATTTTTAGGGCTTTTTGTTTGTTTCTTTGAGAAATCACCACACTGACTTCTGCAATGAGTGGCTGCACCGGCTCACACTCCCACCACCTGTGCGTCAGGATTCAGCATTCACATCTTTTCCAGCCGTTGATTTTCTTGATGGCAGCCATTCGGACCCTCATGAGACAGGCTCTCACAGCAGTTTTAATTTGCGTTTCTCTGTTAGCGAAGGGTGTTGAATACGTTGACCAGCACTCATTGTCCATTTGTTTTCTTACATTGAGAGCTGTATTCAGTTCATCCGTTCAGGTGTTTTTTTTTTGTTTTGTTTTGTTTTTTCTTAAGTTGATTAGTTTGGTTCTTGGTATTTCATTTTTTACTTATTATTTGAAAATTCTATATGTATACACAGTGTATCAATTATATCCATCCCTACCCCCTCCCTTCAACTCCCCAGATGTATCTCCTTTCCATCTTCGTGTCTTCTCTCTTCTTTTTTGAATAACCCACTGAGTCCAACTAGTACTGTCATGTGCTTATGGGTATGGGGTCATCTACTGGGCCGTGGGCATGAAGGGTGCCTGGTCTCCAGGAGCTGGAGTTGTGAGCACCATGTGGAGCTGGGGAAACCTGGTTGTGAGCACCATGTGGAGTTGGGAAACCTGGTTGTGAGCACCATGTGGAGCTGGGGAAACCTGGGCCCTCTGCAGGAGCAGCAAGTGCTTTTAACTTCAGCGCCTCCCTGCAGCCTTCAACCTTCCCTACTCTCCTGAACCGCCCTGACTGGGCCCAGTGAGCAGGGCGTCAGACAGGACCTCTCTTATCCCCCTTCCCTCTCTGCTTTCCAGTCCGTGGTTATAGGGACCTCAGCTGGTGGTCGCCAAGTGTCTTTGGTGGCTCAGCTGAGCCAGGCTGACAGGAACTGATTTTTCCACATATTTCTTCAGGTTAGGTAGCCTTTGTCTCATCATGGGGTGGGTTATTACCCAGTTTCTCTGATCCCACAGTACTCATACTGATCCTGTCCATCTCAGTGTTCCAAGCCCCATGAGCCAATCTGAGCCAGACTCTTCCATTGCTATTTAAAATAATCTTTCCCAATTCCACAAGCTCTGGCGCTGAACATTCCCTGATTATTGTAATTTTTTTTTCATCAGGCCATTGTTAAGGCCTCAACTGCCTCTGAGTCATGTTTTCCTTCCTTTGTAGGACCTAAGGGGTTTCTTCTGTCAATTTCTCCTCACTCTGTCCCTCCTTACCTCCCAGTTTTTCTCATGGGACCCAGTTTGGGGACTCTAGGGAGGCCTCTTCAGCACATAACAGAAAACACCTCCCATAAAATGACTAAACTGAAGGGCTTCAATCCCGGGAACAATCAACCCACTGCAGTGCACAGCAGAGACTCTTGCTGAGGACTGAGCCCTCTGAAGACATTCAGTGTCCCCAAGACAAACACAGGAGACAGACGAGTCACATAGGGGACAGAGTCACACAGGGGACAGACAGACAGAGTCACACAGGAGACAGACAGACTGAGAAGTGTACAGGAGACAGATGAAGTCACAGTAGACAGATTTAGAGTCATAGACACTCACTCATCTTTCCCAACAATGAGAAAACACCCTCCCAGATTCTTGCTATTGTACTGGACCCCCCCATGCAATCCACTTTACCTGCATCATAACTCTTTGTAGATGAATTTAAAACCAAAGAACAAGGATGAGCAAGAGACTAGCAGAGACATCGTGCATTCTTGTTAAATACAACAAACAAATGATGGTGTGCATCACACACAGTGAATATATTTTAATTCAAAATGTAACTGTCTGGGCATGTAGCTCATGGTACTGTGCTCGCCTGGCATGTGCAAGACCTTGGATTGAGCTTCCAGCAACACACACACACCACCACACACACAATCACACATTCACACATCACACTCACATGAACACACATACACATCACTACCACCATATACACACATTCACACACCACACTCACATACATGTACACACACACATTCACAGACCTCTCTCTCTCTCTCTCTCTCACACACACACACACACACACACACACACACACACACACTCATACACCACTCTCACATGCACACACACACAGTCTCAACACTGCAGAGGAAGGACACATGTAAATAAAACATATCATGCTGCTTTTGTTGAGCACATGATGGGCGTTCTCTGACTTCTGGTCATATAACAGCTAAGCATCAGGGAGTCACCCACAACTTGGCAATTCTTACAAGGTATGATATGTTCATGTGGCAGAAGCTATAGCACATATTGATGATAGAAATAGGTTGATACAGAATACAAACATCAACTCCAAATAATAGTGTGTTTTATTTAGGATACAAAACCCAGAACTGAAAAATAACAAGAAAACCACAGAAGACAAATTAGAGCAAGTCTTTGTCCCCACACACGGGACAAATGTACTAAGACCCCAGTGGATGCCTGAGACCATAGAGGATTGACTCCTGTGTACTGTTTTCCTAATGGACGCATTTTGGATGAAGTTTAATTTATACACTAGTCTCCAAGGTTAACAATAATAACCAAGTACAATGTGCTGTAACGGAAGTGTGAAAGTGTGAACATGCACCCTCTCCCGAAAACAAAATGGGGGCTGGGGAGCTGCTCAGTAGCTGAAAGCAGGGAGCGTCTCCGGAGGACCCAGGCTTGATTCCCAGCACCCACGTGGCAGCTCACAACCTCCCGGAACTCCAGTTCGAGGGATCCAACATTCTCTTCTGGTCTCCCAGAGCACCAGGCATACATATGGGGCACAGACATGCATGCAGGCCAAACATCCCCACATGTAAAGTTTAAAAAATAAATAATACAAATTTAAAAACTAATAATGAAGATGGAATTGTTTACATTTGTGGAGGGATTTTTTTGTTGTTGTTGGTATTTTCAGACCAGTTGGCTGTGGGCCCCTGGAACACTAATGGGGGGCCTATTCTAGATCGCTTTTCATAGGACAAGAAAGCTCTAAAAATTCAGTTATTAGGGCTACTGCTCCCTGTATAACCCTGTAGATGGGTGACAGCTGTCATTCAGTTGTTTATTTCCTGTATGTGTACATGTAGGTGGAGTGGCTAGTTTACAGATGGAAATTATATATTTTCAGTTGGCCAACTGGGAAACTGCATCTCAACAAATAGTGAGTAGGCCAGGAGTGTGTAAAGCTGGATATACATGCAGGAAACAGTGAGTTACAAAGGGAAGTCTTCTGGCCGTGTGGTGGTGGTGGTGGCGGCGGCGGCGGCGGTGGCGGCGGCAGCGGCAGCGGCAGCGGCGGCGACAGTGGTGCACGCCTTTAATCCTAGCACCCAGAAGGCAGAGGCAGGTGGATCTTTGTGAGTTCAAAGCCAGCCTGGTCTACAGAGTGAGATCCAGGAAAGGCGCTACACAGAGAAACCCTGTCTTGAAAAACCAAATACAAAACAAAACAAAAAACCAAAAAAGAAACAAACAAAAAAACAAAGGGAAGTCTTCTGAAGCATTCTGTGTGTCTTTAGGTGAGAATTAGCACAAATCCCTTAGACAGAGACTTTTAAATGACTGACTTCTACTGCTACATGAAATATAGGTGCACACTACAAAACTAGTCATTTCAAGAGCAAGACTGACTTAAAGAAGCAAGATGGAATATGCATTCCAGAATTTGATGATTTTGTGTATATAGATTTTTAGAACTTAAGACTTAGAAAAAAATCTTCCTTTTTACTCTGTACCAATTTGTACCCACATTAAATAAAAGGAACAATAGAAGATGAATGATACAGCAACAAATCCAATATGAATAATGTTCTGTGTGTGTGTGTGTGTGTACACGTGAGTGTGCACAGTGCTCTCCTCAGCAGAGGCCGGAGGTGGACCTTGCGTGTCCTCCTTCCTCTACCCACCTCCACATCACTTTTGAGACAGTGTCTCTCACTGAATTTGCCTTTTTGACATAACTGGCTAAGCAGGAGGGCGCTCTGAGTCTGCCGGTCTCTGTCCCTTAGTGACCGATACGCTGCCCTGCCTGCGATTCTCCGCTGCTCTTGCCAGTGCAAACCCAGGTCCTCTTGCTCGCACAGCGGCACTGTACCCGTGCAGCGGCACTGTACCCGCGCAGCGGCACTGTACCCACTCAGCGGCACTGTACCCACGCAGCGGCACTGTACCCACGCAGCGACCTTCCCATTTGCCAGTGTGCTTGACGCTCCTGAAGGACCAAGAGTTGAGAAATTCCCCGAGGAAGCCAGCTGTGATTATCAAACACCTGCAGCCAACGTTAAACACACGGCGAATCCTGTCGCTCTTACACCGTCCCCACAACGGAAGGGCAGATCAGGGAGGGGAAGAGGGTCTCCAGCCTGACCCTGAGCTGGATTCCAAACCAACTGTTCTCCACTAGAGGCAGTGCTTTCATTATTCAAAGAATTGCAACACTGGAAGAAAAATCTCAGCCATGCCGGTTCCCTCAGTGGCATCTATAATTGGACATTTTAAAGATAAACTGCTCCAGCTACATTTAAACATGAACTTACAGCTTACAAACACATTATGGGATGTGTTGCTGTTGGGTACTCATGTGTGAGGATAAAAGTCTTTCTTTTCCCTTTTCCTCTTTTTTTTTTTTTCCCGAGACAAGGTCTCACTGTCTCACTGGCTGGCTGGCCGGGAACTCCATATGTAGACCTGGCTGGCCTTGACAGGTAGGCTTGCCTCTTCTTCCCAGGTGCTGGAGTCAAAGGCATTCACCATGACAGCCAGCTAGAGAAGCTAAACGCTTTAAAGTGCTTTCTAAATTCTGATGTGAGGAGCCAGGCAAGGGTGTGCCGCAGGAAGCCGAGGCTGGAGGAGTGTGACCTTGAGACCAGCCTTGCTGCCCTTCCGCCTTGAGTAAGTTTTGGGGATCAAATTCAGGTAGTCAGGCTTGTGTGGCAAGGGTCTTTGCTGAAACATCTCACTGGCACAAGCCAAGGATGGATACTTTTTGAAGTGGGGTTTTGTGTTGCCTGGGCTGGCCTCAAACCTTGTGTGTGTGTGTGTGTGTGTGTGTGTGTGTGTGTGTGTGTGTGTGTGTGTGTGT